TCTCTTCGCTTCTCTTCGCTTCTCTTCGCTTCTCTTCGCTTCTCTTCTCTTCGCTTCTCTTCGCTTCGCTTCGCTTCGCTTCTTCCTCTCTCTCTCTCTCTCTGTCCTTCGCTTTCGCTATATATTGTTCTTCTTCTTTCTTAGGCCGGGGGTGGTGCCGTCGAGCCACGAAATGCAACCTTTTCGCACAAAATGCCTGTCAAGTGACAACCGCTGAGGGAACATAGCGGTTTTAGTGTAAATTGTCGGCGGCAACCTTTTTGCACGAAACCCTGGCACGAAATGCATGTCAAGTGTCTTTTACGCAGGCCTATGTGTGTTTTTACGTTTTTACCAGAAAATGTGTGGGCTCAGTTCCTGCCCAAGCTGCTTCCCGCACTACGCTCGCACTACATAGTTGCCAGTTCTGATGCCACAGCTGCATTTGGACTACATTCACCTGTGTTTTTCGACACAAATCGCACACTTTGGCAACCTCCACCTTCATTTCCGACGGCAGCTACCCGCTTTGGCAACTTCCACCTTTGTTTTCGACAACACTTACTGTATGTCCTTGGGCAACGCCCACCTATGGGCAACATCCATCTTCGCTTTCGACGACAGTTACACGCTTCTACCTTCATTTTCAACGGCTGTTGCGATGACAGTTCCCGCAAGGTAGCCTCAGGCGACCTGAGTTCTCCTTGCTGTAAGAATGCATTACAATCAGGACTTGGTCTCTCAAGTACACACTGTGGCAACTTCCTGGGGCAGGACCTAAATCCACGCATTTTACTTAAAACATGCGCGCAAGCCTAGATAAATATCCATGGGGAGATATCTTTGGGGCAGGACCTGAATCCAGACAACTTGCAAAAACACAGCCTTGGAGACATCTTGTGGGCAAGACCTGGGCCCATACATTGTACTTTAAAGCTGCGCGTAAGCCTGTATAAACACCACCTTGAAAACATTTTTGGGGCAGGACGTGAACGCATACATTTTGTCCACCAAAATGCACGCAGACCTGTATGCGGCAAAAATGCACACAAACCTGCATAAACGTAACCTTGGAGATGCCTTTCCTGCAAGACCTGGGTCCACACATTCTACTGACCTGAATGCGCACATTTTGTCACGAAAATGCACAGACCCGTATTTATAAACATCGACTTGAAGAAATCTTTGGGGTGCGGTAATGCCTGAATCGAAACATTTTACGGCAACAAACCTGCACTTGGGGTGAGCCCAAACACTTGACTGTACAACTGCACATTACCCTGTATATAAATCCGGGCGCCGGCCAGGACGCCCGTGGCATGCCCGGAGGGCCTTCGGTGGTAACCGAAGGTTATATACGGGCGCGCCCCCTGCCGCCGACCCTCGTCACCAAAACGGGGGGACCGGCAGCCGAGAATTTTATGTTGGCGATGTCAAAAAACGTGAGATTTTCCAGTGTTTTTGCTTTGCGGGAAGGAAAAATCGGAAAAAGTTGTCTCGGAAGATTTTTTCAACATAAATTGCCTAACATATCCCCAACATAGGCCCAAGATAGCCAACATATCCCCAACATATGCCCAACATAGCCTCCAAGATGGCTCAACATAGGGCCAACATAGGCCAACATGGGGCCAACATAGGCCCAACATAGGCCCAACTCAGGCCAACATAGGCCAACGTAGGCCTAACATAGGCCAACATAGGCCCAACATAGGCTCAACATGGGCCCAAGATGTGCCCAACATACACCACATGGGCCGCACTTGGCCCAACCTAGGGCCAAGATGCGCACCAGATAGCTTAACTTTGCTCAATATAGGCCCCACCGGGCCCCACCAAGGCCAACATAGGCGTGACATACGCCCCACACACCCAAGTGGGCCGGCGCCCGGCTGTTAGGCGTAAGCCTTGAAATAAACGCTGCCTTGAACACATTGTTGGGGCAGAACCTGCCCCCGCACATTTTACCATGAAAACGCCCGCAGCAAAAACACACACAAACCTTTTTAAACTTCAACTGGACGACATCTTTGGGGCAGGACCTGAATCCAAACATTGTACTGCAAAAACGCGTGCAAAGCCACGCGACCTCCGACTGGAAGACATCTTTGCTTCCCTCCTCCTGTGAACCGCTCTTTTCATTTCATTCCCCAGATAGCTGCAAGCCGTGGGGGTTCTTATTTCTCAAGGGTGTGGTTGTTGATCGGCGCTTCGTTTTGCCCGTGCTGGGGCTGGTGCTGGATCGGCGTTTGAGTGGGCGTGCTGGTGCAGGTGCTGTTGCGGGTGCGGGTGCTGTTGCTGGGTGCTGGCGCGGGTTCTGGTGCTGGATCGACGTTTGCTTGGGGCGTGCTGGTGCGGTGGAGGTGCTGGTGCTGGATCGGCGTTTTCTTGGGGCGTGCCGGTGGTGCTGGTGCTGGTGCAGGTGCAGGTGCTGCTGCTGCTGCTCCTGCTGGTGCAGGTGCTGTTGCCGGTGCTGGATCAGTTCTTTTTCCACCCCTCACTGATCGAAACGAAATAGAACTTCTCGCCGGGTGCGTGGAAAACGGCTACTGCACTGCAAACATCAGGCAATGAGTTTTTTCCCGAAACATCCGCCATCTGAGGTCTATGCCGTTGTATTTTTTCTCATGTATGTATATATATATACTTTACTCCTCCATCGCGAAGCCAGCATGCCTCACACCAGAGTAATTACACCAGAGATCACCAGAGTAGATCTACACCTAAACGGTGTCGGGCCATCTGCCGTCTATTTTTTTAATCTCTCTCTCTCTCTCGCTCGCTCTCTCTCTCTCTTGATAGCACTGCGCCCCGGAGGCGCCGGCATCATTGCAGAAGCTGTGGCCAGCTTTTCTGTGATCGATGCAGTCCATATCGCTCAGGTGGGTTGCTCAAAAATGGTCGCAGTGCATACCTGTGTGGCATGTTTTTTTGTGGGTGCCGAGGCGCATGGAAAACAGTTACTGTACTGCGATGTCATCTTGGAAGGTGAGCAAATACCAAACATATTCTCAGGAAAGTGCTCCTAGGAAAGGGCCCATTTGGCATCTTGAGGCTGTGAAATATGTAAATGGAAAAACACTTCAAGTTCTTTTACTTACTTCTACAGGTGTTGCGATGTGCTTCATCATGTTTTTGACCGTGCCTTTCCGTCACACCCAGGCCTTGATGCACGACAGTGTGACAAGTGCCGCGCGACGGGCTTGCAGAGCCGATCGCTGCGCGAGGAGCGATTCAACTGGATTCAATATGGTAAGTAGCAGTCGGATGTGTTTAATGATCAATTCAATTAATCTGTTTGCAAGTCAGGATGTTTCGGCGTCAGTGCGGTTGCTCGAGCAGCGTTTGGAAGAGGTGGAGGCTGCAGCTGCACAGCGCGAAGCCGAAGAACTACTGGGCACTGCAAATGCCACCAATCTGCAGAAGCAGCCCTTCCTCAGGGTTTTTCAGTTCTCTGATTCGTTCGAACACGCTGAGCCTTTCACCATGACCCTTGTCCAATAGCTGAAAGTTGTGGGGCTTATATACTAGAATCCTAGAAGTCCTTACTTCCCACTTTGACGAGCTCATGGCTGATGCCTCCGCCGTCCGTCTGAGCAGGCCATTTCGTTGGCACTCATTGCTGCCACAGCTAGGATGGGCTCATCTTTTGCCTTGCGTTTGCCTCCAAGCTTTTTCCCCTGCTTTGTACTTGTTTTCTTTGTCTTCTCTTTGGTTTACCAGTATTTCTTTCTGAACCCCCCAGTGCCCGAAGCGTCCTCTTAGTGCATGGCAACGGGTCGTGTCCCAGCTACTTGAGTTCCCTTGCTTTAGCAACTCATTCCAACCCACCTTTTACCAACAGCTCTCCCTGTGGAACATGTTTCAGCTTTGCTTTGTGTATTGAAGACGGCCTTGTTTCTCAAGATTGTGGAGCACATTTCCCGGCCTCGTCGCTTCAGTGGTTCCAATGTCATCCTCTCACCAAAACTCAGCTTTCATTTTGTGGCTACCTTTTGTCCACCCGCATCTGCCCTCAAGTCTCTTCAACCAGAAAGCAACGTGGCTCCAAGCCTGTATAAATTTGGGTGCGAATCACAACAGGTGTCATGATCACCGCCGCTTCCAAACACGTTGTGCGCACAACATTATGCGAACCCTTTAGTTTGCGATGTCAAGGCATTCCTTTGTCTCTTAGCAGCCGCGTCCGGGCTGCTTTTGGCAGCTGGCGGTTGGCGGCAGACCCTCGCGGCAAATGCAATCCTGGTTGTGGTGACGAGGTTTGCTCCGTAGTGCCAGGAAGGATCCTGACTAGGTTACCATGAGGTGGAGACATAAACGGTACGGTATAGGCAAGGCACGATTGAGCAGAGTGCATTGAAGCACACTTTTGTGCCCAGCTGGTTGAGCTGCCCCTGCTTGCCAGAATGTGTTTCTTCCGCCAATTGCGAGCCTTGTGGCTATGTGCCTGGGGCTTGGCGATGTGAGGGGGTCCAAAGTTTCCAGCGAAAGATGTGCGGTTGCCTTCCATTTCACCCCCCAGGTGTTGGTCCTGTGGAAGTACATGCAGAGCACTTGGGAGGCAAAACGGCTTTGCGAAGAAGATGCCAAACGATTCCTCAGCGCCCGATACAGGTGCCATTGGGGCAGGAGAATTCCTCAGCATTGAACAGCTTGAAACCAGCTGATTTTGGTGCTTTCAGACTATCTCTGTCGATTGCGAGCTGATTTGAGCTTGAGCCTGTTCCAAGACCCGTGCCGGACAATCGGATGGTTGAATAACCCACAAACCTTTCACAATCCTTTTGCTGAACAAAACCGCAACTGTAGGTGTTTCGAACCCAAAATTTGTCCAAATGGCTACACCGAAGTTTGTTGGAACCCTGGTGGCCAGGGTGTTAGCATTCCTCGGTGCTCGGGGCTTGCGACAGCTTGGAGGTGTTTGGCCAAAGGTAGGGCAGTACATGAGCACGCAAGGCAGCTTGACTGAGCTCTGGAAAGGAGTTCGGCGTGCTGAACGCAAGCTTTTACAAATGGCAATGCAATTTTTCTGGAGATGAGAGAGAGAGAGAGAACCGATAGCCTAGTGGAGGCTTTGTTTTTGTCAATCAGGTGACAAGTGGCCAGACGAAGTTTTGGCAGAACTCCGAAAGCTGCGGGATGCCATGCCAGCGGCACCTTTTCACACTACAAAGAGGACAATCGAGGAGAGATTCATTTTATCGGCTAAGACATTTTTGTTCAACCTTTCAACTACTTATATATATATATGTTAATATAGATGGAGGCGATCGGTATTCGGTTGGAGGCCATCGCTCTTAGGTTGGTTAATATATATTCTATGCATTAATATCACGAAAGCCAGCCGTAGGCAGGGCTTGAGGTTGTTGGAGCGAACGAAGTGAGTAAAGGGGGTGTGGGGGGGGGTGGTCGCGAGAGGGCCAATTTCAGAGAGCGTGGGCCACTTGGTAGTGAACAATGAGTGGTTTGAGGGGTGTTGTGATGCCGGTGATGCAAGTGACGGCGGCGAAGAGTGCATCATCAGCATCACGACGGGCTCAGGAGGCCATGGAAAGAGAATAGATTGGAGCTGCGGCTGAGCTTAGCGTTGCTGCCGGACTGAAGAGGTTGAGGGCCTGCGAGTGAACCTGAAGAGGGCACCCCTATGTGAATTGGGGTTAGGGCAGGAGAGAGAAGAGGCATCTGTTGAGGGCCTGCGAGAGAACCGGGCTGAAGAGGGCACCCCCTATGCGGTGGGAGTTCACGTGGATTGGTGTGGCAAGCGTTGGAGGTGGAAGGTCAGTGAGCAAGCGCTGGAGGCAGACGATTTGGAGTTGTTGGGTTGCGTGGTGGAGGGAGGCGGAAGGTTTTGAATTGCTTAGGGGTGCCCTTCTTATTCCTCCGTGGCAAGGTCTAGTTACTGGACTCAAAGGGCACCCAATATGGGGTGCATGATGCCATCTGTTGAGGGCCTGCAAGAGAACCGGACTAAAGAGGGCACCTCCTATGCTGTGGGAGTTCACATGGATTTGGGGGCAGGAGAGAGAAGAGATCAGCGGGCAAGCGTTGGACACAGAAGGTCTTGAATAGCTTAGGGTTGCCCTTTTAATTTGGTCTAGTTTTTTTTCATTTTTAGCAAGGTCTAGTTGCTGGACTGAAAAGGGCAACCCACATGGGGTGCATGATGCCATCTGTTGAGGGCCTGCGAGAGAACCGGACTGAAGAGGGCATTCCCTATGTGGTGGGAGTTCATGTGGATTGGGGGGTTGTTGAAGGCAGGAGAGAGAAGAGATTGCAGCTGGCAAGCGTTGGAGGTGGAGGGTCAGCGAGCAAGCGCTGGAGGCAGACGATTTGGAGTTGTTGGGTTGCGTCGTGGAGGGCAGGAGAGAGAAGAGATTGCAGCGGGCAAGCGATGGAGGCGGTTTTGAATGGCTTAGGGGTGCCCGCTGCAATCTCTTCTCTCTCCTGCCCCCAGGAACAGATCGCATCATCCACCCCATATGGGGTGCCCTTTTAAGTCCAGTAACGGCCTTGCCACGGAGGAAAATGAGCAAGCGTTGGAGACAGAAGGTCCTTTTGCGCGCCATCGCTTCCTCTTGCGCGCCAAGTCTTTGCCCGGGCCTACCCTGAGGGCACCCCCTAAGCCAGAGGCTGGCTTTCGTCCCCTCCCTTCTCAGGAAGATGTTGTCATTCTTGGCCAGCTTCAGGAAGACCTGGGCAAATCGGTGGAGGAATTGTTCCAGCACTTCGAGGACACCCCTTGCATTGTGCCACTCACACGGAGTGAGACGAAGCAACATCAGCGAAAGAGAGAACGAGAGAGAGAGAGAGAGAGCGAGGGAGGGAAGGAGGGAGGGAGGGAGAGAGAGAGAGAGAGAGGGGGAGGGAGAGAGAGAGGGGGAGGGAGAGAGGGAGAGGGAGGGAGAGAGAGAGAGAGATGTTAAGAGACAAGCTTTTTCACAATAGCTTACTTACTCCATCGTAG